TGAAAAATTATTTGTTGACTTGTTATTAAACCTCCTTTTTAATGTTTTTAATGTTTGCTACAAGCTTGGTAATGCTATTGATTATAGTTTAAGTTTTTTTTTGGTCTAAAATATAAATATCAGCTCTGCTGCTTTTTAGACCCTTTTGTTGTTAAAATGCATACATAAGTACTATAGATATTTTTTTTATGTAAAACTATAAAATGTATATACATCCTAACAACAAATAAATCTGTTATTATTATTATTATTATTATTAATAATTTCCAAACTCTTATGTTAAATCAAGCCATAAGTAATGTTCAGAAATTAATTATGAAACTGTTGAGAAAATTAGTACTAAACATTGGCGAATGGGTGCTTTGTCTTCAACAAAGTAGGTAACTCATAGACTGTAACTAATCCTAAAGTAATTACGAACTTCTGTTTATTGCGCAAAAAGTTCGTTTCTTGTTAAACCACAAGTAGGTATTTTTATACCTGTCCCACCGAGCCGCACATTGAATTAATTTAAGAGTAATTTATTTAACGTTTTAGCTAATTTAATTATGTAAAGGCAGTTTTAGTTGGGTATTTCGCTGTTGAAACCTAAGTGTTTGCCATAAAATCTAATAGTTTTACAAACAAATGCAAGCTTTTGTAATTTTTTCCAAGGTACATACTTACCATGTTTTTCTCAGGCTTATTAGCATTTTAAAAATGCATGTTATTGCATTTTTGTAATATTCTTAATATTTATGTCTAAGGATCATTAAAATTGAAAATTTAAATACAACCTATGTTAACTTAGTGTTTGGCATCATGCAATATAAAATTTCGTGTCAAGCATTATATTATAGTTTTATTATATTACTTATATTATTATTAATTATATAGAATCTATTATAGATATAGTTAATATAAGGCTCTATTTCCAATGTAGGGAACGCAAATGAACAGCCAATTAATTTTTAATTTATTAATGTCAAAACAACGGTTAAAACAATACAAATTCGTTTAATTTATTTATTAACAAATTAACAAATTATTTATTTTAAGTGTTATAATGAGACGCCATCTATTACATGATGGCTGAATTTCAATGCCTCTTAGTGTTTTGTGTGCATTAGATGAAAACCTTTACTTAAAAATTGTAATCGATACGATGCGCCATCTATTGCCAGGAGGCAAAACGTGTTCGTGGACCAAAACATTTCTGTATCGTTCTGTTTAGAGCTCAAGTTTTCTTTTTCTTTATAGTTTTTTTGTTCGGCTTGGGCACATAGTTCCACACATATACTGCTTATTCGCTATATTTTGTATAGATGACCTTGTTTTCTTTTTTTAACGGGAAATTTGTCGATTTTCCATATTATTTTACCTTATGCGCGTGGAGGATTTAAAATATATGATATCATAGACATATTAATATGTCCACGTATAATACGAATTGTCAACTAAATAAATTTTAGGTTATATCAAATTTTTCTAAATCATCTGCTTACATCGCCTAGTTAAGCATACATAAATTTTTGTGGTTTGGCTTTATAAAAAGCAAAAAGAGGCATAATATGCATATTATGTAAAAGCCACTAAAATTTCATAAACACAATGCTAAAACAATTGGTATACAACTGAAAACTCACAAATTGGTTAGTTATAAAGAACATCTACATATTAATATGTCTATGATAAAAACCTTTTGGCTATCTTGGTCAAAATTCGACGTTGCCAAATTCTTACTGTTATAAACATGCCATTATAAAATCTTATAATATCAATATTTTGTGTGTTTATTATTGTTAAATGTTTTTTTCATACAATTAATTAAAGTATTTATTATATTTCCACGCATGCGCCTCAATGCAATCACACGTGTGATTCTCACTTTCCCTACTTTAACCCCACGAAAAGAAAACAGTCTTAGTTAGAAATGATTTGTATATGTGTGGAAATATGTGATGAACACCAATAAAATCAGCCATCCTTGTTCCTCTTTATATTTACATCTTTTTCAGTTCAAAAATTATAAATTCCTAAAAACACAAATTAACAACGTTTTTAATGTATTTTTTCTACTTCCACTTCCATGACACTAATTGTCCTTTTAAATACACATTGACAAGTTGTCTCTTAATAGGGTTTTAGTCACGGGCTGAAGTTAGTTTTAAGTTGGTTGACAGTCATACAATCGTTAAAATAAATTGCCGTTCTTGTAAAATAATGCTAAATGTGCAAATTATTTTATTATCTTAATATTTGAAAACTTTATATTCAGTTGTACTGACCTTTTGATTTCGCCGGCAGTAAACTAGATTTAAGTGGTTTTGGCTGGAGATTTCACCATGTAGTGCCTATAAAACATTATCTTTACTTTTACTGTAAAAAATTGCTTCTATATCGGATTTAGTTAGTCCATTTTTAAGGGATAAATTTCGAAAAATTTTTCATTTGACATTCCTTACAGAACACAAGTTACTCTATTGTTTTGTAGATGTCGCTTTATACAAATATTTAATTTAAATCATTTTTAGATAATAATAAGTATTTCTCGTAGAAAAAGTATGGTATGCAACTCGTTTATAAACTTTTCTAGACACTTATCTATAGGTAAGCACTCGCTTGCAAGCTCGCTCGTGACTAAATTAAATTGATTAAAGTCGCGTTTATCAAACGATACATAATATACTAAAAAGTATCTTATGATACAAATAACAAGCTATTTTCGATTTAAATAGTTTGATAAATAAATAACAGTACACAGTGACAGCAAATTCAGCGGTGCCAATGTAGTAAAAACAAAACGTTTTATTTTAATTAACAAATTACTATTTTATTACAAATTAAAGTATCATTAAAAACTAAAATCAACATAAAAAGTTAATAAGTAACAACAATAAAGGTAAATTATAAATTTTTTGTTAAAACTGTTATATTTTTGTGTTTCTAAAGTTGGCAGCATTTAATTTGAAATGACAATTTTTAAAAGTGGTAAAGAAATTGTTTTTTGAGATTTTCTTAAAAATATACTGTAATACTCAATTTTTAAGCCGTTGTTGCTTGAGTTTAAAAAGGAATATTTGCAGGAATCTATTCTATTTCCCACAGATTATTTCAAAAATTCGTTTTTAAACTCGAGAAACAAAATAAGATCCTGTTGATATCGCAGCTTAAAAATTGTTTAATTAATTATTTTTTATGGAAATATCACGAGCGAGCTCGTGAGATACAAAATAAAAAAATATTAATATTAAATTTTGAAGAAATTCTATGGAAACTCTTCAAATGGAGATACTACGATACTACCTTGGGTATAAAATTCTTTTAATTATGTTTAAGTTTATAATTAGCTCCTCTATACTATAGTATGTACTTTAAGGATTATAAAAAAAATTCTTAAAATATATTAAAACAAATCTTAAATTATAATAAAAAAAATTCAATAAAAATAAACTGATTTATTTACGATATTAAAAAACAAATTCATTACATACATTGTTTATTACATAAAAAATAAACCCTAAACTCTAAGGTTGTAAGTATTTTCAGTCTAAAGCTGTTAGTCACAAAATAAATTTAAAACAATATAAAGTTATACTTTTACAAAAAATCGAATAAAATACATAAACATGTATTTTGGACGGATAACAAAACAACATTCAAATATAAAAATACTTAAGGGTAGCTTAACACTATTTTATACAATATTTATTTACAAAATTAAGTCTTTGGTCAATCATTATTTGTATGTTTTTTGTTATGTTACATTATTTTAAAATTACATGATTTTTGTCTATACAACAATAAATGTACTTATTAGGGTAATTCATTTCCGCAAAGTTTTTGTTTTCTTCGGTGCTCAAGCAAAATATTAATCTGCATATAAAAAGAAAAATTCTCAACAAGTTTGAGCTTTTAATATAAATGTTAAGTACTTACTATTTAAATTTAAAGTTTTACCGTTTAAAATGCATGTAAAAAATATATTTTTTTTTTTCAAATTTCTAATGCTTACGGTTTAATACACCTTTTAAGTTTTTTTTGTAACTCGCATTGGTTCACCAGTAGGAGTCGTCAAAGGACAGTTTTTGAAAAAAATCGTTTTTTTTTAAATTTTTTCTAACAAACCGCAAAAAGTAGGGAGAAAAAAGGGCTGAATCATAAACCAACTCATAATGTTATTTAGATTGATTTTTTCTATTTATTATCATTATATTTCCCTACACTAAGAAGTTTTTTAAAATTATTGATTTCTCACTTATAATGAATATGAAAACAACAGATAAATTCATAAAAAACAATAAGAAAATTGTAACGTGGATTTTGCAATTTTTCAACATTTCTGTCATATAGCAAAAAAATATAAATGAAGATTATTTAATTTTTTGAAGCGAAATTTGAAATATGTTACATAACCTTCTGTATATTCCGATTAAAGTTTTGTTGTTTTTTTATGAACTTATGTGTTGTTTTCATATTCATTACGAGTGAGAAATCATAATAATTTTAAAAAAGTTCTTAGTGTAGGGAAATATAATGATAATAAATAGAAAAAATCAATCTAAATAATATTATGGGTTGGTATATATTTACCAATTTCTTACGTTTTCAGTTATAAAAATGGCAGTAAATTCATTAAATATTGGTTGGATAACTTTTTTTTTTCAAGCCGTCCTTTTTTCTCACTACTTTTGGCGATTTGCTCGAAAAAATAAAAAAAAAACCGATTTTTTTAAAAACTGTCCTTTGACGACTCCTACTGGTGAACCAATGCGAGTTACAAAAAAAAACTCAAAAGCAATTTTAAAGAGCGTGAAATTCCTCATAAGGTGTATTAAACCGATTTGCAATATTGTCAAAGGTGGGTAAGCATTAGAAATTTGAAAATAAAATATATTTTTTACATGCATTTTAAACGGTAAAACTTTAAATTTAAATAGTAATTGCTTAAAATTGATATTAAGAGCTTGGTGAGAATGTTTTTTCCTATATGCAGATTATTATTTTGCTTGAGCACCGAAAAAAAACAAAAACTTTGCGGAAATGATTCACCCTAGTACTTATACAAATTTAAGTGTTAATGATGCCTAATTTGTTTTGAAACATTTTTAGAAAATGTATTTCACTGTCTTAAATCTAAAAAAAGTCTTATAAACTATTAAAAACTGTGTTAAATTTTTTTACATATTTTTTAACAAGGATACCCATAGTCAGTATACCTCATATTATCGATACAATTCGTATAATCATTGACAGTATACACAGGGCTGGAAACAGCATTAGGAAACATATACCCCGCCTGCTGTGTCATACAAAAACTACTGCTGACCCCTTGCTGTTCGAGCGGTCCAGCGACGCCTGTCATTTTTTTATCCACTTCCGCCTTCTCGATCTTCTGCCTCTTGCACTTGTAGCGTCGGTTCTGGAACCAGATTTTCACTTGGGTCGGGGTGAGTTTCAGACTTTGGGCCAGTTGTTCCCGTTCGGGAGCCGACAGGTACTTTTGTTGCTTGAAGCGGCGCTCCAGGGCGAACACTTGGGCCTGGGAGAATAGGACACGTGGTTTTCGTTTCGAACGTTGGCGCCCTGATTTCCGCAGCTCGGTTTTCGAGCTGGTCACTTGTTGTTCTGAAAATAAGGAAACAATAGACTTTATATTAGAAACATGTTTTTATTTACCTACTATATTGACATTTACATTTTAACATATCTTTAAAATTTTACCCACATATTATTATTATATTATTTGATATTAAAAAAAAATAATATTATTTAAAAGGCCTTTGAAACCAAATTTAATTTAAAAAGTTAATATAGGTAGGTACCAAGTTCTAAACAAATTAATTTATTTAAAATTATATTTATTTTAATATAAATTAATAATAAAAAAACTAAATATTAATATTATTTAAAAAGCCCTAAAACCAAATTAAATTTAATAAAAGTTAATACAGGGTGTCACCTTATTAATCTAATACTTTGTTATCATTGATTACTGACAGTTTGGTTGTTATTGTGGGTTCTCTGGGGCTACATAAACAGTTTAGTGTACCAGAGCGAAGGTGACACGTTAGAACAACTCCGCGAACTTGTCACTGCAGCGGCAGATGAAACCAGAAATCATCCGGATATGATAGCAAGGTCGACACATCATCATTTTCTACGCCGCTGTCAACTTTGTGCGGATAATAATGGCGGGATAGTTGAACATTTAGCTACATGAGCTTCAATCGACGTAAAAAATGAAATTGTTTTATTCAAAGTACAGGGTGATCCCCTATAAAGCCGCCCCCCTTTAACTTTTTTATTTTAAGTGTCCCAAAAAATTAAAAAGTGTGGTTATGTAGGTACTAAAAAATACTTTTTTTCTACCTATAAAAAAAATTGAAAATTGATCAATATACAGGAAAAAACAATGAATCACCCTATATATGAATTTATTTTTCGATTCCTTGTAAAATTCTGAGCATAATTCATATAACAAACCATATACCTAAACTCAACCGTTTCTGAAATATTCGCATTCGAAATGTTATCATTAAATGTTTTTTTAAACTGTTAAAAATCAAGAAGCCTCAGTATATCAAAATTTTTATTGAAAATAAATTAGTATAGTGACATTATGATTATGTCTTGTTAAATAAGAAAAAATGGCGTACTCAGACAGAGAAAAACAAACTATTTCAAATTATTATCTTAAAAATAATTTAAATATTTCAGAAACGGTTAAATTTAGGTATATGGTATGTTATATGAAATATATAGGGTGATCCATTGAAAAAATAAACTTTTTGTTTTCCCCTGTATACTGATACATTTTTCAATTTTCTTTATACGTAGAAAAAAAGTATTTTTTAGTACCTACATAACCACAATTTTAAATTTTTTGGGACACTTAAATAAAAAAGGGGGGCGACATTATAGGGGATCACCCTGTACCTTAAAATTTGGCGTGTACCCTTAAAGCATCACAACTTATTTGGTGACACCGTGTATAATCTACTTATGTATACTAAACAAATTTAAATAAATAAACCAAATTTATAAAACTATAGAAAATGAAGTAAAATACATATAAAAGAATAAAAAATACGTCAAAAATTACAACTTTACGATTTGTAATTGTTTTATACATAAAATAACCTTCCTACGTTAGTATGTCATTTTCGAGGCACCCTATATACAGGGTGTCTGAAAATCACCAGACCAAATAAAAGGGGTCGATTCCTTGCAAAAATCAGAGACGAAATTTTCTTTACATTATTAGGAGTTATTTCGTTTTTAAAGCCACCAATGGGAGCGCAGTGTTTCTGCTCTAAGGGACGAGTTTTTGTTATATTTTTTGTGTTTGCAGAAGACGCTGATATTCCATCATTGGGAAAAAGTAAACAAAGACAAATTCGGTGCATGTTGCCGCAAACGCTGAGTTAAAAGTCGGGGCTTGCCTTATAGAGTAGAAACACTTCGCTCTCATTGGCGGCCTTAAAGATTAAATAACTCCTGCAATTTTGTGAATTCGAAAAATTGGTAAAGGAAAACTATTTTTAAGAGGAATTAACCTTTAGGGTACCAATGTGATACAACCAAAAATGGTATTGTTATTAAATAAATTCTGCAATTTTTGAAATTCCCAAAAACCGGTAAATAAAATTTTATTTTAGATTTTTGCAAATCGACCATTTATTTGGTCCCGTGATTTTGGGACACCCTGTATAAATAAAATTCAAATTATATTAAATACGATTCAAATTTTTTAAAAATCGTAATGGATAAAAATACGTCAAAAGTCATTGAAAAATGGTTAAAAATTTAATGAAGTTTCCAAAAATTTAAATTTAAAATGTTTTGTTTTAAAATGCCTGAAAACTTGCTTCTGAAATGTTCTTCAACTTGTCTATTTAAAATGTCCTAAAGCGTGATTCTAGAGCGCATAATTTGAAAAAAAAAGTTCCTAAAAATGCAAGGGAGCCCCTTGGAATTTTATAACGCAAATTTTTAAAATGATTTTTCTTAAAAAGTTTGTTTTATCTTAAAAGTACCCCATGTCCCCCTAATAATACATGTGTATATCAATATCGGGTATGCAGGAGAAGTTGCATTTGAAGAGGTAACAAGCAAAAGGGTGCAAGTGCAAACAAGAAAAGTGGAGTTATTAACTTTTAAAGTTTTTGTTTTATATATTTTGTATATATATACTTGTTTCAATATTGTTTTTTGCTTTAATAAACATGCAAAAATTAGGATTCTAAACTACCCAATTATGCACTTAACTTATTTTCATGCTAAAATGCACTTGTACCCTTTTGCTTCTCACCCCTTCATTTGTTAACTGTAGTTAACACCTGAGATAAAAAGTAGAATGTTGAGTGCCAGCTTCAAAGCATTTTTGATCCAATATTCTTAGGAACTTTTTTATATTGTAAAATAAACACTAAACACTAAATTTAGTTTTATTAGTTTTGAACTTATTTTAGGTAATAATTTCAAAAAAAAAAAAAATGGTGTACTTACTTGGACTCTCCACCTTTATATACTCCTCATTCTTAAGCCCATTCTGTTCAGGACTATGCATATAACCATACTGCCCTTGCTGTGTATTATCATAACTGCTTCCGCAGTTACCAAATTTTTCGTATGAAATATCTCCATCCTGAGAGCTGCTATTAATAAAGTTATAATTTCCATATTGCTCATAGGGATCCCAATAACAATTCCCTCCATAGTAGGGAGGCTCCTTCTTCACAGTATTGTTTGTATTGTAGTAAACACTGTCATTAGAAATATTTAAAATGTCTTTAACCGAGAACGGTGTACTCAGATTTGTGCTTGTAGTGTCACACGTCTGGAAGTGATCGTCACTTAACTCGAATTGTTGCAACATCTTGGTGATTAAACAATTAATTTAGAGAACCACTCCACACAAAGTCAGAACTAATTATGCAGCAAATTGCTCGAAATTGGACAAATCACACCAACCACCCGTAACCGTACTTAAGTCTGCATAAGGCTCATTTTACCCCACTTCAACACTGAGTGTAGCCTTAACGTCTTCTCTCTTAAAGCTCAAAACTTCTTGCGGTTCGGTGACGTCATTTGGCCACTCCTCTAGCCAATCAGGTTCGCTGTTTTACTAATATTTGTACGGTATGATTGATTGGAGGCAAACGGGGCTTTTTAATTGATTTTAATGTGTTTTTGATGTTCGTCTAATTATTTCGTTGTTTTTGTATATATTCGGTTTTTGATTGAGAGTAAATATGTGTGTAGGTTAATCGAAGATTTAGGTTTGTAAATTTAGCTAAATAAACGTTATGTATTAATATTACTTTGTTAAAGATAAGAATATTTTTCAGCATTTTTTTTATGTTTTATAAATTTTAAGAATTTATTCTCCCATTATAATTATTATTATGAACGTTACGAAAGCAATTTTAACTGGGGAAAGTATTTAAATTATTTTTTCTACTCCCACCTTTAAAAAGACCATTATCGTACATGTTTCCATGACACTAAGTGACCTTTTAAATACACATTGACAAGTTGTGGCTTTACGGCGCTTTAGTCACGGGCTGAAGTTAGCAACAGGTTTTTAGTCACGGGCTGAAGTTAGTTTTAAGTTAGTTGACAGTTGTCAAATGTCATACAATCGTTAAAATAAAGTGCCTTTCTTGTAAAATAATACTAAATGTGAAAATTATTTTATTATCTTAATACAAAAATACAAAAGTATTAAATAGTTTCTCAACGCCAATATTTGAAAAGTTTATATGAACATTGTACTGACCTTTTAATTTCGCCGGCAGTAAACTATAACTTAAATTCGGGCACAGACTCTACTGTAAAGTGCTCATAAAACATTTTCTTTACTTTCACTGTAAAAAACTGTCCATTTTGAAGAAATACATTTCGATTTATAACCTTTATAATCTATAAAATATAAAAATTTGACATTTGACGGTGACACACAGATTCCCCTATTGTGTCATAGATGGCGCTCTATAAAAATATTTGATTTAAATCATTTTAAGATAATAATAAGTATTTGTCATAGAAAAAGTATAGTATGCACCTCGTTTGTAAACTTTTCTATACACTCATTAATTTAAGAATAATGATAAATTAAATTCGTGTATAAAATGGCGTTTATCAAACTTGATACATAATATACTATTTCTTGTAGTTTTTAATTTATAAGGCAACAATTTAATAATACACTTATTTGCAAAAAAACCGGCCACCAGAAATTGACTAAAATGTTAATGTTGATTTTGATGAGTTTTTTTAAATTGTAGGTAGGGATATACAAAAAAAAAGTATATACAAAAGTGCTCTTTTAGTTCCACCCTTACTTCTTAAGAAGTTCCATAAGCCAACTGAATGGCTTGTGCGGGTTAGGGGTAAAGTCTCCTCCGAAGGACTGTGCAATTTTTATTCTAATTTTAGCATATACACGGTCCAAAAATAAGTAGTAAAGTTTTTTCTCGAAATTTGTAATATGTATCTTTTCTAAACATTTTGTTTTTTAATTTACGTTTTTATTTCTGTTATTAACGAGAACACACCATTTTAAAGCACTGAGAAAAAACAATCATTTTAATCGAATATTCTGATTAGTATAGGCACCGTCATAATATATAATATATTATATACTGTTATGTTAACCAGTTTTATTGTTACTTTAACTATATTTTTGTTATTGCACAAAACAATTATTTATTTAGTTATAATAATCATATGCCTAGGGTTACAGGTACCTTATAACCCTCTATATGGTTAAATATACTATATATACGTATACTTATGATATGTAGGTATAAACTTTCTGTATAGTAAAAACTACAAGGACATTATGTCCTGGACATATTGTTAATAATTTGTGACAACATTATATTATTGTAATCTTATAATTTTAATCATGTGTAATCGTGTAGTACTAACAGTTTAGCCGTACATGATGGTTGTAATACCCTATTTAAATATTTAACTTCAAGTAATTTTTATAATAAAATGATTACAGTAGGGACATATAACAAAACTAATTTTTCGTATATTGTTATTATAACCATAAGTTATAATTAAATGAACCATATTTTGCATAACAAACCTATATTGTTAGGGATTACAATATTTTTTCTTAGAGTGAGTAAACTAATCCACTCAACATACATGTACTATTAAAAATCATACAAGATTGACCGTCTGGTTTCAGAATAAAATTGCTAGGCTACACAGGATGTTATCGTTTATTGTTGCTAAACAGTTACTGTGTTGTGAATGTTGACAAAAATTTATATACCAATTCTTCAGGTATAAGTGAATACAAGAAAAAACATCATCGATTTCTTATTGTCATGTTAAAAACCTCAAATTTGACTTTTGTGTTAAAAGTCGCAGTGTATACTGGACGTTTCGTTATTATGGTTTCCATGGTAACTAAGCGTACGTTTTGGTTACTTAGTAAAGAAACGCTTGCTCCTCGGAAAAGTGCAACTTTTGCTTTTGGAAGCGCAAATTTGTACTTTTCGTTCGGTTGTAGAAAAAAATAATTATAAAATTGGCTGTTTTTTAAATCAAATGAAATAAAATGACAATGTAAATTTTGTTTTTGCAAGTTCGTACCTATCGCTATTTATGCATTAAGATTAAAAGCAAGTTCCCTTACCCCTTTCCCCGCAATGTACGCCAACCTACATTTTAAAAACATTTTTTTATCAAAATCAGATGACTTGTTGTCAATTTCTAGTAACCATTTTTTCTGGTGAGTGTATAAAAAAATAAAAACAAGTTTATAATGCTTGGAAATGAAAAGTTTACTTGTGTTTATTATAAAAAAAATTATTCCTTTAAAAGGGATTTAAAAAAAATGTTATTTAAACATAGTGCGAAAAACGACTCCTAAGTAGGCTATAGGTAGAGCTACAGTTAGAAATGACCCCTAAATGAGCTAAAGCGAAACGGAAAAAACCCTGTATATTTAATATAAAGGATATTATAAATATAGGTATTTTCTTAACCTATGGCTGATACTAAATAATAATAATAATATAATAATAATAATAATTTATTGAACACATTTTTACAAATAATTTCACATGTACATAATTTATTTATTCCTATTCGCACCTGATTTCATATGAAATCGTGTCGTGCTTAGATTTTAATAATAAAAACAATATTCGAGGTGTGTTTTTAACAAAAAAAAATTAACAAAATAAAAAATTAAATATAATCTGTAAATTGATAAACGAATAATAATTACAAGTAAACAAATATTTTGAATGAATGAAATTTTACAGAATCTATCTTATAAATAAATTAAATTTTGATTGTATAAATAATTCAAGTTTCTTACAAAATAAATTAAAGTCCTTAATTCTCTTTAGTTCGTTGGGCAAAACATTGTACACTTTCGGACCTGTCACACAAATACAGTTTTTAAAGAGTGTCGATGGAATCTTGGGAATTAGATTAGTTTCTTGTCGAGTATTGTACTGATGTTTGGCAGTTTTCCTTAATATTGGATTTTTATAAACAAACTTGGCTACATTAAGTGTATACAACTGATTAAAAGTAAAGACATTGCTTTCATGGTATATTTCAATTGTCGAAGTTGTACGTTTTTTAAATAAGATTGTTTTTAGAATCCATTTTTTTGTCACGATAATATTTTTTAAATGATTTTTATATGTCCCCCCCCCATATAATAATTCCATATGTTATTAATGATTCCGCAAGAGATTTATATGCTATAATAAGTGATTTTTTTGACATAATCTCTCTTAATTTGTAAAATGAGTATACAATTTTTTTTAAATTTATTTGCTATATACTGTGCGTGTTCTTTCCATTTTAAATTATTATTTATGATTAGACCCAAGTACTTTATGGACTCAGCCTTTTTAACTAATCCTTGGCACTGACAGCCTGGCTCAAGATCACAAAGTGCATGTAACTTAATTTCCTGAAACTGTGGTTGATTTGCCATGCTGTTTGTGATACACATAAATTTTGTTTTAGAAAAGTTAAGACTTAATAAATTACTGTCAAGCCAACATTTTACCTTATAGAGGTTATGCTCACTGTTGGTTTTTGCTTCTGTCCAAGTTTTTCCATTAATAAGTAAAACCGTATCATCTGCGTAGGATAGTATAACACCGTTTATTGATAGCTTAAGCATTTCATTTATGTATATCACAAACAGCTTGGGACCCAAAACCGTTCCTGGGGGACGCCATATTCAATTTTTCGGGATGTGCTTAGCGTGTTGTTTATTTTAACAAATGATTCACGATCACTTAAGTAACTTTCGAAAAGTTTAAGAACAATTCCCCGGATTCCATATTGTTCCAACCTAGTGAGTAGCATTGGATGTGATATGCTATCAAAAGCTTTTGCCAAGTCTAATAATATTGCAATTAATTTTTTTATTGTTATTTAATAGGTCGTGAATCTTATTTGTAAAACTAAATAGGGCGTCCTCCGTAGAACATTTGTTCGTAAATCCAAACTGATTTGATGAGATCAGGTTATATTTTTTTAGGTGTTCATCAAGTCTCCGAGCAATACGTTTTTCAAAAATTTTGGCTATTATTGATATTACTGAGATGGGTCTATAGTTTTTGGGGTCAAGATGGTCACCGCTTTTTAAAATTGGTGTTATAATGGCGTATTTTAGCAATGTAGGAAATTGACCCTTATTTAATGACAGATTTATTACATGAACTATACTATCCGCAATATTATCTTTAATGTTTTTTATAGTTTTAGTACTGATTTTATCTGTTCCGCATGAAGTGTTATTTTTTAGCTCATTAATTATATTTAAAACTTCCCTTTTTTCAACTGGCCTTAAAAACATGGAATTTATTGTGTTTGTTTGAGAAGTGTTAGCAGGGTTAAAATCAGAAAAGGGGTCATTTTTTATGGAGTTCGCCATATTTTCCCCAATCTTGGAGAAGTAATTAATAAAGGTATTGGCAACATCGACTGGCTGACGAAATAAAATTGTTATTGATGCGTAGTGTGATGTCATTGGTTTTTGTATTGTTTAC